TTATAATATTTGAAAGGTTGAAATACCCAAAAATGCTGCTTTGTCCTTAATACTCTTCAAAGGGGGCAAGTCAACCGCTGATCTGTGGAATTAATTGTACATACACAACTTAATAGATAAATGAATTTTGCATCAATTTGTGTTTGAGAATAAAATCGCAAAAATAATTTTACACATTCGAATGAATCGAACGAAAAATTCAAGAAAAATAGATTACTTCAAGAGAAGACCGGACTAATGAGTAAGTATGACTGTCTTTATTACTATCCCAAGCAAGCTATTCACATTGCATTTTTTACCAATTATGGTCAATTTTCTAGGATGTTGTTTGGAAGTCATGAAAGTGAGTAGGTTTTTGATGCCGCCGATCCGGACAAGGGGGCGATGAGGCTCATAAGTTCCAGGTACCGCGAGGCGCCAGTCGCGACCGTATCTTTGTAAACGAGGCGAAGCTACTGTAAGCTCCAAAGAGTTCATGTTAGATGCCTGCTTGGAAAACTAAACAAACAAAGTAAGTAAGCGAATTGATGAAATACGTTGTGCTACGTTATGCTAAAGCAATATTCAAATATTAATTGTGTAAGATAGCCTTACTTAGCTTTCAATAATACGACTTTAAGATTCAATATCCACAATTAGAGTCTATAGGATAAATCAGATTTATAAAACTAATAGGAAATGAATATCAAGGGCAAATAGACTAATAAAAATCACGCCATTGACTCTCGGTGTCCGGCGCGTGATAGCATCGATAAATAGAAAAAATTGACAAAAAAAGCTTGATTGATCAGCTATTTTTAATGTAAAATGTATCCCAAAATACTTTCCAAATCAGAGAATGGAAGATGTTGGGCCTCTGCCAAACCTATACAAAGATTGAAACAAGGTTTAAACCTAAATCCTCCCAATATATGATAGAAGGGTTAGTAACTAAACTATATGGATCCTGCGCTAATAAGGTCTTGGCTATGTATGTTGCAAAACGGCCATAAAAAATAATGTATGAATATAAAATGGGTCCATAAAAGCCACCCTAGAAAAAGCTTTAACTTCTATGAGAATGCGAAAAAAAGATATTGATATGTCGATCTCATCAGATATAGAAAAACATGAATACATTAGGACCTTTGTGCTGGAGCCGTCCACAAAATATAAGCCTTTTGCTTAGGCGAAAGAGTGCTAAGCTCTTGTCTTTCATATGCGATAAATAATCAGAGCTATACGGCATTCTCATAGAAAATTTAACATGAGGATATGCCAGACAAATTATATCCAATATCCTTAATAGCTGATCAAACTTACGCGTCTATAAAGAGTATAGTAGCCTTCCCAAGCTTGTTGTAGATCCACCTTGGCTTGAGTCTTCTCGTGGCGCTCGCAGTAGAAGCGACAGTTAGTCAATTCATTATAATACTCTTGCAAGAAGGCAGCTTCATTGATTGTCTCGTGACCACGATCCATTACTGTGTGTAATGGATGCAAAAGGCGAAACATCTTGGCAATATCTTTTTCACCGAAGTAGACTCGACTTGCATCCTCTAGACATTCACTCCACATCTCGACCCAAGTTATTGACAATCGGATAAGTTCCTCATTAAGCTGGTAAAAGAGGGAGACAAAAATATTAAAAATGCAGAAACTATATGAATCCTAAAGATAAAAGATCATGAGCGGAGATCTCGAAAATTGCACTAGTTTGAGTTAAATCAGATTTATTCGGTTATTAAACCCAAAATATAAATGACGAAAGTTAAGAAGTATAGATATTCTAGCAAGAATGTGTATTAACGAAATATCGATCATTTATATATAGAATTAGAAATTTATCTTTAGAAGGGAGAAAACAATTATTTTGAAGTCATAGTATTATCAATAAAATGTTGGGATATATGCTAAGAACTAACGAAGATAAGCGATAAAAAGATAAAAAACATTCACTTGCTTGACTAAAAATAGCCATTCCAAAGGCAGCAAAAAACATCAATATCGACCAATATCTAAAAATACTAATATATTACAGCCCCTCAAACAAATTCAAGCTTGAAGAGTTAGTTAAATTGCACTTGCTAATATTATAATTTTAACACTTAAGATACACTAGAAGGCGCCCTCATCCAAAATTGCCTATTTAAAGAAGACTGTTGATTGTTTAAAAAGTAATTTAACTGGGCTATTTTTTTTAGTAAAAACCTCTTAAAAATTGGTTAAATTAATGGACCTGCAAATCAGTTCGGGGGAAAATATACTTAGTAATTTTTATATAATATATATGTATTGTCGGGGAGACTTCCATTTCATATGAAAGTGCATGAAGATATTCGATCTCATCAGAAGACAATGGCTGATTCCCATTGTACTGCAGCCGTATTTATTGAATACTAAGTTCAGGCTGACGCAGTCCATGAGACATACTCTTCGAAAGACAGTTTTTCTACATGCCTCGAAACATCTTCCCTCATTTTGATTGAGCTTTTTTACATTATATGATGGACAACAGACCAGGAACTCATTCTTCCAATAAGACTATCTCAAAAATATATGAGATATGTTCACCCTATTTCTTTTTAGATGTGAAAGGACTGATAGTTGAATTTTCTCACAATGTAATGAATAGACATTATGTTTCTATTGAATTTCCAAAGCCTTGCTTTCCCCAAAGGTATTCTCAACCAGGGGTAAGCAAGATTCATATCATTGTGGCAAAATTGAAATACAAGTCCCACATTACCTTAAACGAACTAGGTTGAACACTGCTCAT